CCATTAGTCATTGTTTGGAGACATAAACATTCAAAATAAAAACATACATTTGTGGAAAATCAGCTGCTTTGTTTTAATCTTTATTGTTATAATTTTATACAACCGCAAAAAAAATTTGCGGTCCTATATTGGTATGACGTTGGCGTAGTCGTCGTCCGAAGACACATTGGTTTTCGCACAATAACTTTAGTTTAAGTGATTAGATCTCTATGAAATTTTACCATAAGGTTCAATACCACAAAAGGAAGGTTGGGATCGATTTTGGGGGTTATGGTACCAACAGTTAAGGAATTAGGAACCAAAAAGGGGCCAAAAATAAGCATTTTTTTAACTTCAAGACAATAACTTGTGTGTTAGTGTATGGATCTCTCTGACATTGTACCACAAGGTTCCATATCACAAAGGGAATGCTGGGATTGATTTTGGTAATTGCGTCAAAATTTTAGGAATAAGGGGCAAAAAAAGGGGCAAAAAACAAGCATTTTTCTAGTTTCATGACAATAACTTGTGTGTAAGTGTATAGATCTTTCTGAAATTGTACTACAACGTTCCATATCACAAAGGGAAAGCTGGAATTGAGTTTGGGGTAATTGCCCAAAACGTTTAGGAATAAGGGGCCAAAAATAAGCATTTTTCTAGTTTCCAGACAATAACTTGTGTTCAAGTGTATGGATCTCTCTCAAATATTACTGCAAGGTATCATACCACAAAGGGAAGGCTGGGATTGATTTTGAGGGTAATTGCCTCAAAATTTTAGGAATAAGGGGCAAAAAAGGGGCAAAAAACAAGCATTTTTCTAGTTTCAGGACTATAACTTGTGTGTAAGTGTATGGATCTTTATGAAATTGTACTACAAGGTTCCATCACAAAGGGAAAGCTGGGTTTGAGTTTGGGGATAATTGCCCAAAACGTTTTGGAATTCGGGGCCAAAAAGGGGCCTACATTAAGGTCCAAAGGATCCAAAATTAAACTTAGTTTGATTTTAACAAAAATTGAATTCTTGGGGTTCTTATATATGCTGAATCTAAACATGTGTTTAGATTTTTGATTATGGACCCAATTTTCAAGTTGGTCCAAATTTGGGTCCAAATTAAACTTTGTTTGATTTCAACAAAAATCGAATATATGAGGTTCTTTGATATACTGAATCTAACCATGTATTTAGATTATTGATTTTTGGGCCCCGTTATCAAATTGGTCCACATTGAGGTCAAAAGGGTCCAAAATTAAACTTTGTTCAGGGGTTCAAATTAGCAGTGGTCCGAGGTCCGTGACCTTCCACTGTTGCAATCGGACTTTCGTTTTGGTTACTAGCTACGCCCGACGGACCTTCGATCTTAAAGGAAATAAAAATGATTTTTGCTGACCTTTTTAACCATCTGTATCGTCATTTTTAAGCCATACTTATATTATTATTGAAATTGAGATAAAAAAAATGTTTCATCCCTGACCTTGCAGACGAGTGATAAAAGTTATTTTTAACCTTGTATTTCTTGGAAACACAAGGTTATAAATAGTTGCGAGAAGTCACGTGACAAATCATTTAATCATTTAGACATTTTAGAACAAAATGAGTCCGTTTCACTTTGGTGTCACGTCTTCCAAGAGAAAGCCTGAAGATTATGAACGGTCTTCAACCACAGGCACTTGTTTCTATCCATGGGAAGGTCGACTATCCATAAATATGGAAGGATATTCAACCTTCCCATGGATAGAAACAAGTGCCTGTGTCTTCAACGTCTTCAAAAGAAATCAAATGAAGATCTCACTAAAAACAAAAAATGCGATCGTGAAAAACGGGAACGGAGCCCTTCAGGAAAATCGATCGACCGTGGCTATATTTTGATGAATCAACTGGTCTAATGTCATGCACATACTGCCAGAAGTTCCCCTCTCATTCAGAAAAAGAAAGTGCACTTGTAAGGGGAACACAAAATCTTAAAATAGACCCAATAAAAATATACGAAGTGACACCCCAGCATTTATCTTGTTTAAAGCAGTGGATCCATGAAAGTGACCCAAATTTTAAGTCTAATTATGACTAAAGATTAATTGTCAGACACTAAACTTGGACAATGTATTCTCAAGCAGAATGTAAGCCTGATCAGTTAAATAGATATAAGGTTCTTTTCAACACTGCATACAGTATTGCAAAAAAGGGAAACCCTTCAGTTACTATGAATTTATTCTTGAAATCCAGTGCAAAAATGGTGTTGATGTGTAAGCAGTACTTCAATATTGAAGGTTGTAAACTGCTTATTTGCTGGATAGCCAATTTAGGCATTATATGAGAAACGAAACATCACATGCAGTTCAAATATGATGAAACAAACTAACCTCACTCCAAAAGCTCATTAATTTGTATCTTATTGAGTTATGAAATTTTTCCTGTAAAAGTAGGACCTTTCAGTTTGGAGTGTCAAAGGTCCTGGACCTTCCAGTACCAAATGTTAATTTGAACCCCTGCAATAGTACTGAAAGTGGTGTTAAACATCAACAATCAATCCTTACCACGACGATATAGACAATAGTACTGAAAGTGGTGTTAAACATCAACAATCAACTCTTACCACCACGATATAGACAATAGTACTGAAAGTGGTGTTAAACACCAACAATCAATCAATCCATCCTTACCACGACGATATAGACAATAGTACTGAAAGTGGTGTTAAACACCAACAATCAATCAATCAATCCTTACCACGACGATATAGACAATAGTACTGAAAGTGGTGTTAAACACCAACAATCAACTCTTACCACCACGATATAGACAATAGTACTGAAAGTGGTGTTAAACACCAACAATCAATCAATCCATCCTTACCACCACGATATAGACAATAGTACTGAAAGTGGTGTTAAACATCAACAATCAATCAATCCATCCTTACCACCACGATATAGACAATAGTACTGAAAGTGGTGTTAAACACCAACAATCAATCAATCCATCCTTACCACCACGATATAGACAATAGTACTGAAAGTGGTGTTAAACACCAACAATCAATCAATCAATCTTTACCACCATGATATAGACAATAGTACTGAAAGTGGTGTTAAACACCAACAATTAATCAATCAATCCTTACCACCAAGATATAGACAATAGTACTGAAAGTGGTGTTAAACACCAACAATCAATCTATCAATCCTTACCACCTCAATATAGACAATAGTACTGAAAGTGGTGTTAAACACCAACAATTAATCAATCAATCCTTACCACCAAGATATAGACAATAGTACTGAAAGTGGTGTTAAACATCAACAATCAATTCTTACCACCACGATATAGACAATAGTACTGAAAGTGGTGTTAAACACCAACAATCAATCAACCCTTACCACCAAGATAGAGACAATAGAACTGAAAGTGGTGTTTAACATCAACAATCAATCCATCAATCCTTACCACCAAGATATAGACAATAGTACTGAAAGTGGTGTTAAACACCAACAAACAATCAATCCTTACCACCACAATATAGACAATAGTACTGAAAGTGGTGTTAAACACCAACAATCAATCCTTACCACCACGATATAGACAATAGTACTGAAAGTGGTGTTAAACACCAACAATCAATCAATCAATCCTTACCACCACGATATAGACAATAGTACTGAAAGTGGTGTTAAACACCAACAATCAATCAATCAATCCTTACCACCACAATATAGACAATAGTACTGAAAGTGGTGTTAAACATCAACAATCAATTCTTACCACCACGATATAGACAATAGTACTGAAAATGGTGTTAAACACCAACAATCAATCAACCCTTACCACCAAGATATAGACAATAGAACTGAAAGTGGTGTTTAACATCAACAATCAACCAATCCTTACCACCACGATATAGACAATAGTACTGAAAGTGGTGTTAAACATCAACAATCAATCAATCCTTACCACCACGATATAGACAATAGTACTGAAAGTGGTGTTAAGCACCAACAATCAATCAATCCTCACCACCACGATATAGACAATAGTTCTGAAAGTAGTGTTAAACATCAACAATCAATCAATCCTCACCACCATGATATAGACAATAGTACTGAAAGTGGTGTTAAACACCAACAATCAATCAATCCTTACCACCACGATATAGACAATAGTACTGAATTTGAAAGTGGTGTTAAACACCAACAATCAATCAATCCTTACCACCACGATATAGACAATAGTACTGGAAGTGGTGTTAAACATCAACAATCAATCAATCCTTACCACCACGATATAGACATAGTACTGAAAGTGGTGTTAAATACCAACAATCAATCAATCAATCCAATTTAGTTTTTGCCAAAATGCCAAGGTTCTCAAGCGATACACTCTTGTTTGAGGCTCTTGTCTAATTTTCATTTCTGCTTTTTATCTTTAAACTACAAAACCTGGTTGAGCAAAAATGATCAGCAAGACAGGTTTTGGCACAAATTTTCCAATAAACACAAATATTATTGTTGCATTGTATAAATTTTGAGGGGCAAAAATGCTGGGTAAGCCATATACAGGCTCCTTCGAGCCTATATAGTTTAGTTATACCCCAAATACTATCTTAGCTTAAGGGACAATTTTATTTTACGGTTGAACATATCTATACTTAATTTACCACAAATTACATACTTCAAATGGAGGTTATCCAAAAATTGACGGAGACATAATCAAGACAAATGGTAACAAGTTAAGTGTAAGGTCACAGAATATTAGAATATTCTACAGTTGGAATAATTTTCGATTCAAAGGTGCATTTAAAATGCTCTTGCAAATAAACACAAAGTAAATTCAAAAACAACCTGTACACTTTTACTCTGGGCCTCACAATTTTTTGGAAAATATGAAAATTTTATCGATAAATATATTATATAATGTGTAACATTTTTATTGTATATTATTTTTGGGGGGTTTATATTTTAGAAATTTAATAGTTCTACAAGAAATATGAGTAAAGGTATATTCACAGTGCATATTCCTTATTTTTCAGTCTGTCATGTCAGAGGAATCTTCAGGTGTGACTGCTGGTCAAGGGATGGAAGGTAATTTTCATTAATAATTTTTGTAATAAATATTTGGTATTTTAAAAGTGTTTGGTGTATATGTCTGTCTGGCAGAGTTCATATCAGGATCTTTTGTGGCCAACTACATACCGTAAATTCGAAATTATTGCGTGCATTTATTATTGCGATTTTTTTGTACGACCGCAAATTTATTTGCAGTAGTATTATGTTATGGTGTTGTCTGCGTCTGCATCTGAAGACATTTTGGTTCGCAGACAATAACTTGATTATAAGTTCATGGATCTCTATGAAATTTTAGCACAACATTCCATACCACTAAAGAACGGTTGGGATTGTTTTGGGGGGCTATTGTCCTAGCTATTTAGCTCACCTGGCCCAAAGGGCCAAGTGAGCTTTTCTCATCACTTGGCGTCCGTCGTCCGTTGTCGGTGTCCGTTAACTTTTACAAAAATCTTCTCCTCTGAAACTACTAGGCCAAATTTAACCAAACTTGGCCACAATCATCATTAGGGTATCTAGTTTAAAAAATGTGTCCGATGACCCGGTCAACCAACCAAGATGGCCGACATGGCTATAAATAGAACATAGGGGTAAAATGTAGATTTTGGCTTATATCTCTGAAACCAAAGCATTTAGAGCAAATCTGACATGGGGTAAAATTGTTTATCAGGTCAAGATCTATCTGCCCTGAAATTTTCAGATGAATCTGACATCCCGTTGTTGGGTTGCTGCCCCTGAATTGGTAATTTTAAGGAAATTTTGCCGTTTTTATACGACCACAAAAAAATTTTTGTGGTCGTATATTGGTATGACGTCGTCGTCCGGCGTCGTCGTCGTCCGAAGAAGCATTAGTTTTCGCACTCTAACTTTAGTTTAAGTGAATGAATCTCTATGAAATTTTACCATAACGTTCAATACAACAAAAGGAAGGTGGGGATTGATTTTGGGGGTTATGGTACCAACAGTTAAGGAATTAGGGGCCAAAAAGGGGCCAAAAATAAGCATTTTCTAGTTTCCAGACAATAACTGTGGAACGGTGTATGGATCTCTCTGAAATTATACTACAAGTTTCCATACCACAAAGGGATGGTTAGGATTTGCTTTGGGGGGTTATGGCTCAAACCGTTTAAGAATTAGGGGCAAAAAAGGGGGAAAAACAAGGTTGTCCTGGTTAATGGACAAATACTTTAGTACAAAACATAATTTAAAGCAGTGTAAGGGAGATAAATCAAATACATCATTGAAATTATCTCCCTTACACTGCTTTTAAATTATGTATAAAGTAATGGTTAATGAACAATTAAGATAATTTAAAACAGTGTAAGGGAGGTAATCCAAATACAACGTTTTGGTTACTTCCCTTACACTGCTTTTAAATTATGTTTAAAGAAATGCATATTTATAAAGGAAGACCAGTAAAAATATCTGCAAATGTTGCATCTTTTTTTTTTACAAAAAAATCCATATGAAAGATTTGACACTATATTTTAAATTCTATTATAAAATAGATTAAGTTAGCACTATGGTAAATTTAAATGGGTAATTATGGTTTGGGGGAAAAAAGGGGGGGGGGGGGTAAAAAGAAATTGTGGGGGGTCAATTTTTTCTCATTTCAGATTTCAGAAATTAAAAAGAATTATTCTTCAAATATTATTTTTTTTTCAAATTTCAAATATTGAAAAATTTCAAGAAGTAATCTTTAATTGCACAGTATGGCGCATTAGATTTGTAAAATCTTTGACCACATTTATTTATTTGTTATGCCGAATCTAACCGTGTATTTAGATTTTTAATTTTGGATCCAGTTTTCAAATTGGTCTACATTAAGTCCAAAGGGTCCAAAATTAAACTTTGTTTGATTTTAACAAAAATTGAATATATGGGGTTCTTTGATATGCTGGATCTAAACATGTATTTAGATTTTTGATTTTTGGCCCAGTTTTCAAGTTGGTCCAAATTGGGGTCCAAAATTAAACTTTGTTTGATTTCAACAAAAATTGAATATATGGGGTTCTTTGATATGCTGAATCTAACCATGTATTTAGATTTTTTATTTGTGGACCCCACTATCAAATTGGTTCATATTGAGGTCAAAAGGGTCCAAAATTAAACTTTGTTTGATTTCATCAAAAATTGAATTATTGGGGTTCTTTGATATGCCAAATCTAACCGTGTATTTAGATTTTAAATTTTGGGTCCCGTTTTTTAAATTGGTCTACATTAAGGTCCAAAGGGTCCAAAATTAAACTTAGTTTGATTTTAACAAAAATTGAATTTTTGGGGTTCTTTGATATGCTGAATCTAAACATGTGTTTAGATTTTTGATTATGGGCCCAGTTTTCAAGTTGGTGCAAGTTGGGGTCCAAAATTAAACTTTGTTTGATTTCAACAAAAATTGAATATATGGGGTTCTTTGGTATGCTGAATCTAAACATGTATTTAGATTTTAGATTTTTGGCCCAGTTTTCAAGTTGGTCCAAATAGGGGTCCAAAATTAAACTTTGTTTGATTTCAACAAAAATTGAATATATGGGGTTCTTTGATATGCTGAATCTTACCATGTATTTAGATTTTTTATTTGTGGGCCCGCTATCAAATTGGTTCATATTGAGGTCAAAAGGGTCCAAAATGAAACTTTGTTTGATTTCATCAAAAATTGAATTATTGGGGTTCTTTGATATGCCAAATCTAACCATGTATTTAGATTTTTAATTTTGGGTCCCGTTTTTTAAATTGGTCTACATTAAGGTCCAAAGGGTCCAAAACTAAACTTAGTTTGATTTTAACAAAAATTGAATTCTTGGGGTACTTTGATATGCTGAATCTAAACATGTGTTTAGATTTTTGATTATGGGACCAGTTTTCAAGTTTGTCCAAGTTGGGGTCCAAAATTAAACTTTGTTTGATTTCAACAAAAATTGAATATGCTGAATCTAACCATGTATTTTGATTTTGGACATTGGACCATAATAGGTAAATTAAAAAAATTGAAGTTCTTAGACCACATTCTTTCTGTGTCAGAAACCTATGCTGTGTCAAATATTTAATCACAATCCAAATTCAGAGCTGTATCAAGCTTGAATGTTGTGTCCATACTTGCCCCAGCTGTTCAGGGTTCGACCTCTGCGGTCGTATCAAGCTGCGCCCAGCGAAGCATTTTATTGGTTATTATCTTGAATATTATTATAGATAGAGATAAACTGCAAACAGCAATAATGTTCAGCAAAGTAAGATCTACAAATAAGTCAACTTGACCAAAATGGTCAGTTGACCCCTTAAGAAGTTATTGCCCTTTATAGTCAATTTTTAACCATTTTTCGTAAATTTTTGTAATCTTTTACAAAAATCTTCTCCTCTGAATCTACTGAGACAAATTTAACCAAACTTGTCCACAATCATCATTAGGGTATCTAGTTTAAAAAATGTGTCTGATGACCCCGCCCGCGAACCAAGATGGCCGACATGGCTAAAAAATAGAACATAGGGTAAAATGCAGTTTTTGGCTCATATCTCTGAAACCAAAGCATTTAGAGCAAATCTTACAAAAATAAAATTGTTCATTAGGTCAAGATCTATCTGCCCTGAAATTTTCAGACCAATCAGGCAACAGGTTGTTGGGTTGCTGCCCCTGAATTAGTAATTTTAAGAAAATTTTGCAGCTTTTGGTTATTATCTTGAATATTATAATAGATAGAGATAAACTGTGAACAGCAATAATGTACAGCAAAGTAAGATCTACAAATAAGTCAAACTGACCAAAATTGTCAATTGACCCCTTAAGGAGTTATTGCCCTTTATAGTAAATTTTTTACAATTTTCATAAATTTTGTAAATTTTTGTAAAGGTTATTGTCGTAGCTGTTTAGGAATTAGGGGCCAAAAAGGGGCCAAAAACAAGCATTTTTCATGTTTCAGGACAATAATTGGTGTATAAGAATATAGATTTCTATGAAATTTTACCACAAGGTTCCATACTTCAAAGAAGTTTAGAATGAGTTTTGTCGAGCCTGCGACTTTTGTCGCAAAAAAAGTCGCAAAAGCGAGACATAGCGATCCTACATTCCGTCGTCGTCGTCGGTGGGGGCATCCACAAATATTCACTCTGTGGTTAAAGTTTTTGAAATTTTAATAACTTTCTTAAACTATCCTGGATTTCTACCAAACTTGGACAGAAGCTTGTTTATGATCATTCATAAGACAGTATCCAGAAGTAAATTTTGCAAAAAAAAAAAATCCTGTTTATCCGTATTTTACTTATAAATAGACTTAGTTTTTCTGCCAGTTAACATTACATTCACTCTGTGGTTAAAGTTTTTAAAATTTTAATAACTTTCTTAATCTATCCTGGATTTCTACCAAACTTGGACAGAAGCTTGTTTATGATCATAAGACAGTATCTAGAAAGAAATTTTGTAAAAATTTATTACCTGTTTTTTCGTATACTACTGGACTTAGTTTTTCTTCCAGTTAACATTACATATAGTCTGCAGTTAAAGTTTTAAAAACATTTATAAGTTCCATAAACCATCCTGGATTCTTACCAGACTTGGACAGAAGCTTCTTACAATCAAAAGATAGTATCTAGAGGAAAATGTTTAAAAAAATTTTCCCCATTTTTGTTGAGCCTGCGACTAACGGCAAAAGTAGGCGAGACACTGGGTTCTGCGGAACCCTTACGAATTTTTGAGTGTCATGGCCCATACCGTTTAATAATTAGGGGTCGAAAAGGGGCAGAAGACAATTATTTTTCTAGGTTGCAGGCAATAACTTGAATATAAGTGTATGGATCTCTATTCAATTTTAGCACAAGGTTCCATACCACAATAGGAAGGTTGGGTTTTTTTTCGGGGGTTATTATAGTAGCTGTTTAGGAATTAGGGACCAGAAAGAGCCTAACAAAAACAATTATTTGTCTGGTTCACAGACAATAACTTGTATAACTGTATATATCTGTATAAAATTTAAGCACAAGGTTGCATTCCACAATAGGAAGGATGGGATTTATTTTGGGGGTTATTG